GTCTCGCAATCAGTGTCTGAGTCCTACCGTTCTTCCCCTTGCTGCGGCTTATCTAGTAGGCCAGCTTTCCAGCAAAGGAAGGAAATTTGATTTGAAATGATTCATACTGGACAGCCTTATTATAAACATCTTGGATTTTTCTTGGCCTATAGACACTCTGCAGGGTAACTCATTGCAGGGAAGATCATTCTGTTTTCTCCTTGTTAGTCTCAATTTTGTATATGTATGTGTAAATACAGCTATATATGAAAATAAATAGAGACATACACAGATATATGCACATATTCCTATACATTTATTTCATGAAACCAGGAGCAATGTCAGACGATCTCATAGGCCACAAGGACCAGTGCACAGTGAGTCTGAATTAAAAAAAAAACAAAACAAAACAATTTTAGTAACTTTCTGGCCCATGCAGTTAGGTTAGCTATAATTTTTAGAATCTTCCTTTTCTCCCATCTTAAATATTCCCTCGGCTCTTCTTTGGTACTTTCAGTTATCTTCCACGAATTTTCATAAATAATGGTTGCTAGTTTAGATTATTTTTTGACATTTTCTTATGCACCATAGGGGGAAATTCATTGAGCTCTACTCAGTACATCCAGATTACATTACACCTGCTTGTTCTTTCTGCATCTTCTGTTCAGATGTTCTTTTCTGTTGCTTTCATTCTTTCTTTTCCTTAAAAAGTGTATTACCATGATCAATCTTATTGGTTTGTGATCACTTTCAGTACAGTTACTTTCTGTATTCAGATTATCAACAAGTTCTTTCCTATCTGTAAGGATTAAGTCCACAGTAAGTTCTCCTCAGGTAATTTTGTTCACCTTTTGAAACACTAAGTTGTCTCCAACACAGCCCACAGCCGTAAAGATCTGTAGATGTCTTATCCTATGGCTTTTTCAGTAAATATGTGAGTAATTAAAAAGAGTTGAAGCAGACGGGAATGGGCAAACACTTTATCATATGATTGGCTACTACCTTTACAACAGATGTCTGAAATAATTATGCTCTATTGTCTTCTATCACAAAGGAAATTAACAGGGACAATATGAAATATTATTTCTTATATGAACGTGTTTTCATGAAATCAAGGAGGTCAAGTTAAATAAACAGGAGGAGTAAAAATTTCCTTAAACAACCCTTTTAAAAAAGACAACTATAAAGTGGTGAGGAGGCTCTGTCAGAACTGTGATTGCTGGGAAAGGAAGGGAAATGGTGAGTGGAGGGTGGTTAATGGAGCCTTACCGCCCTCCCTTTATCACTGTTAATCAGCCACGCGTACCATGGGCCGCACGTGGTAGGAGCTGTGCAGACCATTCGGGTGCTCCCTTCCTTGGCCCCTCCTGTCCGTCAGACTTATGTCCTCCAGGGAATGTTCTGGGGAGTGTTTTATGCAGGGGATATCGATAGCTATTGAATGTGTATATGATATCTCAAAAATGTGCGTATACAGGCTTGTTGAAATGTTATTCGTAGCCTTTATCTTTTGGGGAAGAACAAGAGCAGTGCATGTTTAATACTAATCAGACAGTAGCTAATGCTATCTTTTTGCCTTATGCTTTATCATATTCTGCAGGAAAACCTTTGTTAAACTCTTTTTTTCACAGAACCATCCGTGTCAGTGGTATTAAGTGCCCAAGTGTATTTCTGTTTGTTATGGTGTAAGTGCATGCACGGATTTAATTCTTTTCCTTCTTTTTGAAGCCATATGTTTTGGGAGCTGAAAATTAGGAGTGTTTGAAGTCTAATCCCAACTCTCCCTCCCCCTGCCTGTTTTCTGGCCTCAGATACTCACTTAACCTTTTTCCATTTCTTGGCTCCTTCCTCTTCAGCACAGGGACATGCAACTTTAGGTATTTCTCAGGGGGGTTTCATAATTCATTAAAAAAATTTCAGCACTTTGAAGACATAAAATATATATACAGCGTATGCTAAATATTTTTATAGTGGTGCAAGGAAAAGGTTGGTTTCTGAATTTAAATTCATTACCTGCTCTAAAATTAATGCTGCTTCCGTACTGCATTTCAGTTTCTTAGTCATTCAAACATTAATGAGCGCAAAACTGAGTTGTGCACTACTGTACATCTGAATGGGCATTCATACAATCACATGAAATTCTCTCTCAGTCTTGGCTGGTCCTCTTCACTAAATTGAGTCGCCTATATTTAAAAATAATTTAGCATAATCCCAGATCCTCCAAACCCTTAATTCTGAGTACAGGTCTGAGTAGTGGGAGCAGTTCACTTGAACAGTCCTTGGCGCAGAGGCCTGGACCCAGACTTTGCTTCTCGCACGTGAATGCTTCAAACATCTGATTTTATGCGCTCTTCTTTCTCCAAAGAATTAAAAAGAAGAAGGGCTTCACCTCATTTTTAAAAAGAGTTGAGTGCAGCCTTTATTCTGCTGCTTTAGCCTGTGAAAGAGGAAGGTGAAAGATGACAGTTTGAATTCCCTCAGTCAGAGAAGGGCATCAAAATCAGAGCTTGGAGTAAGTGCGCTAACCCATATGCTTTTGTATAGGAGAAGATGAGGTGGGGACAGAGAGGCAGAGGGGATACGGTTAGCATGTATAGGAAAGGATTGAGTCCCTGCCCTTTTATTAAAATGGAGCAACTTAAAGCCTTATGTACATGCTTACTTGCAGTGCCATGTTACCTATTCCTGCGTTAGCACCAAACCAATTGGTAGGTGCATGCCGGCTATTTATACATTTACATACTGCCGCAAGGTCGGGCAGCGAGCACAGCATCGCCGCGCGGGTGCAGCAGCTGAAGCGCAGGCAGCGCAGCCTTGGCAGCCCTGCACTCCTTTCTGCCGCGCAGAAACACCCCGAGGCAGCTAGCAAGCAACACAGGGATGATGTGACCGAGACATCACACGGCTGCTGAAAAGCAAGCCCTCAGGAGGGGCAGGATTTAAGGATACACCTCTGTCTCCTGAATATCGAGGTGGTCAGAGCCGACTCTGCAATTTGATGGCATCAGGGCAACCCTGTGCTTGCACTGTTTGGCTCCTGGGAGAAATAAAAGCTGCGTTAGCACGCGGCGTCAGGCGAACTTAGCTTACCCCTTTCAGGGCCACAGCAAGTGTGTCCAAATAGCACTGCAGTGTGTCTGATGCTTGGGGTTGTTGCACCTGGCGTGGAAATGGCTCCACTCGTGCATTTTGCTGGAAAAGCTGAGGCACCACCTCCAGCCGTGCTTTCCCGCTCAGGAACCAGGCACACAAATACAGGCATCACAGCGAAGGGCAATGCCGGGGCATCCAGAGCTCTGCTTGTTGTGCACACATGGAAAAGAAAGGCAATTAGCGCCAAGGAGTGAAATGTCTTCATAAAGGCGCAGCAGAAGTAGCTGGAGTGGGGTTTGCTACTGGCCTGGCACTGAGAGTGCGTTTATTGCGTGGGGGAGGACTGTTTTGCAGCAAGCTGCAGAGGATGAGGTAGAAGACAGAAAAGCGAAGGCAATGCTTTCATCAGTTAACACTATCAAAATGTAAAGCCGTGCACATCATCGAGGAGCCATGCAAATAATACAGCAAACAAAATGGGGGGAGAAGAAAATAACCAGATACAGGAAAGTTTAAAAATTAATGAAACTGGAGGAAAGAGATGTGTTTGTGTGCACACGCATTTCAACTCATAAAGGAAATAAGGGAAAATTAGCAACAACATTAGCTGGCCCCGAGCCCGTCTGGCAGTGCTTGCTAGTCAATCCAGAAGACGCCAGCCTGCCCTGACAGTAAGCAGGACCGTTACTTGGCCTGTCACCCGCCAGGAGGCCAGGTTGCAGACTACCAAAGGTAAGAGCAAGACTCACGTTTCTTAGAAGAGCTGCACTTCTCTGGGCTATCTGTTTTGAACATCCGTGCTGAATTCC